ACACACATGTGAGCGCACACATGTACACACACACACGTAAAAAAGAACAAACAAAGAACAAACAAACCTAAAAATATATCAACATATGTATAACTGCGTGTGTGTGTGTGTGTGTGTGTGTGTGTGTGTGTGTGTGTGTGTGTGTGTGTGTGTGTGTGTGTGTGTGTGTGTGTGTGTGTGTGTGTGTGTGTGTGTGCGTACAGATGTGTGTGTGCGTACAGATGTGTGTGTGCGTACAGATGTGTGTGTGCGTACAGATGTGTGTGTGCGTACAGATGTGTGTGTGCGTACAGATGTGTGTGTGCGTACAGATGTGTGTGTGCGTACAGATGTGTGTGTGCGTACAGATGTGTGTGTGCGTACAGATGTGTGTGTGCGTACAGATGTGTGTGTGCGTACAGATGTGTGTGTGCGTACAGATGTGTGTATATATGTATATGTATATATATATATATATATATATATATATATATATATATATATATATATATATATATATATATAATGTACTTATGAAATGTATATACATATGCACATACATATATAACTACATATTGTATATATATATACATATACATATAAACAACCATATATGATATATAAGATACATACACCCATACTTACTTACATATGTAAGACACACACACACACACACACACACACACACACACACACACACACACACACACACACACACACACACACACACACACACACACACACACACACACACTATATGTTGTTGTCATATGAAAATAAAATCAATCTCTCTCACATTGAGAGATCTGTTATATCACAAACAACATAAACTTTGTTACGTCTTTTGCAAAATACATACTGAAATGAAAAAAATAACATAATCACCATGGAATTTAAATATAAATTAAGTATAATTCACAATTACAAGGCAACTGTGATCCAATTCTGATGCTAAATAATTAATGATTAATGAAATCATGACACATTTCATGTCATAATATCCTTTGCTATCTGATTACTTCTTAAATCAAAGACTCCATTTAATGAATGGCAAAATACTAAATTGCCTTGAAAATATGGTAGAGAAAACACTATCCGCAAATTTTGTTTACTGAAAGGTGAGGCAATAGTTTGCTTCACCATTCACTTTGAACCATAGTTTCCATTTGTTTAAAGGCGTTACAACAGAAAACTTTACACTTTATGCTAATTAGCACTCACCAACACAAAGCATGTACAAATGCATACACATGCTACTTACACCTACAAAAATATATACAAAGATTCTTCAAAATCGTATGTTTGTCTTTGCAAATAGAATACTAGGTATTCTATTTGCATTAAGGCATATAAAATTATCTTTCATGCCAATATCACTTTGTATGTGTTTATGTCTTGTAATATCTTGAAAATATAATATCCATCCATGTTAGCATACACCTTTAACATGGTTCTTCTCATATCCCATCCAAATTTCTATCTTCTTGTCTTAACATCTTTTTCCTTCTGCTCTGCATCTCATTTTTTCCCCAAGATATAAAATGTCAGCCAATACTAATCATCTTCTTCTTCGAACATCAAATGCCCAAGTTTTATTTCTGTTGAAGATGAAACTTTCTTGGAATCTTCTGCATTATCTGTTCTCTTCTTGTGCTTGTTTCTTTGTTTGGTTTGGCCGACAACATACTCAGGTAGCTTCACTTTCCGTGGTCCCCCAAACAAGGCATCAGCAGACATGTCCGACTCCTCCTTTTCATTTATGCCTCCTTCATCTTCAACTTTAACAGGTTTCTTGAACACAATCTTCTCTATTTCCTTTTGCTGGTAATCACCTTCCTCCTCTGCTGCCTCGCCTTCCATCCTTCTTGTCCTCAGTTTGTCAAAGAGCCGTAGACCTTCCGCCTTGTTTTCTCGGTCGCTCAGTACCTTCGTTTCCCTCATGCTGTATCTTGTCCACTTCTGGGGATTCTTCACATAGTCTGGGGTGCTGTTTAGAGGCCCTCTCCCCCTGCCTCGCCAATTCGGAGGCCTGCTGTTGGGTCTTCTAAATTCCCCATCCCTGGACGACCCCCCGTCACAGGGCCTTTGGAATTCACCTTCGCTGGAGGACGACTCGTTACCACGCTGGTGCGGATTCTTGCCAAAGGGCTTTCTGAACTCCCCATCCCTCCTCTGTGAGGCCCCGTTATCATTATCGTCGTCCTCGTGGGGTCGTTTGGACACGCGAGGCTCGTGCTCAGTGGCGGCCGTTGCGAGCGAGCTGAAGAGGGCGTCCACTCGGTTGTTGAACTCGGAGTCCTCGGAGTGAAGGCGAAATGAGGCCATGTCTGTTACCTTAATCCGCTCTCCTGCAATGGCTCACTTCTAATCTGTTCTTGCAATCTTCCTTCAGTGCCTCTGCCTCTAGCGAAGAAGGGAAGACATTGTTCTTCTTTCACCGATTTCTTTGAGAAATACCTTTGATTCTTTCTGTTATCTTCTTTAGCAGCGTCTAACTTCCTTTAAGTGCGTTTTCTCTCCTCCTTTATTTCTTATTTCTCTTTCCTTTATTAAATTTCAACAGTTTCTTCTGCCTTTGCCTTTACTCTCTTTTGTTTACGTTTTGGCTCTGCAGTAGCATTAATAAGTACCGCACATAGGAGGATCAGAACCATTACAGTAAAGGTTCTTGCATCACAATAATAGAATTCAATTCTTTATCATAAGGTTTTGTAGTCTTCAGCTGTTTTTAGGGCGTATTTCTTTTTTATATCTTTGAATTAATGAAACTCCACTTAAAACTCAAATTGAAGAGACAAACTACATGGCAGCATTGATAGAGAAAAAATATCCTACTCTCTATTTATTAAATATGGACTAAGATCTGTGAATAAGGAAATATAAATGAATGAATGAGCGACTGGGCTCAGTGACTCAACATGGCCGAGTCAGAGAACACGTCCGTCTCTCCCCTCCGTTCTTTGGACGATTTTCTTATGGAATCTGCAAGGTTCCAGATTCCAAATTTTAAGGATGGAGACAAATGGGCTAACAGAGTCATCCAGAATCTTCTTTACTACCAGACAAATTATTTCCTGACTTACTTCGTCATATTTGCCGTGGTTGGGTGAGTCGTGGGGGGCATGCTGATAGTACACCAATTAAGTATTTTTTGACCATTTAACACGTCATCACGCCCATTTAGGATCCTTTAGCTCAGTAATTCATCGTGCTTTACCATGTCTAAGGGCAGATGGACCGTGATGTTTGCTGGTAGGGATTTAACAGTAGTTGATGTAGCAGAATACGATGACATCTTAACTCGATTGTGAATGTGTATTTCTTTATTTATTTTATTATGCGTGTACTCATGACACTGACACGCGACATTAAGAAGTGATTGTGCTAATGTTGGTTAAAGCATGTTACATCCCCTAGTAATAATAGTAGTTTTATTTTTCCTTCAGAAAAGATTGTTTTTCATTAGTGTGTCTGGTGAATGGATGATGATAGTCTAGAATAGGTCTCCATGCTTCTTGATTTGTCAAAGACAATTTGGTATTTGTCACCGAGAGCGATGCACTCTCGAGAGACGAGGTCCCCAAACCAGGGAATCGTGTGAACCCAAAAATCCAAACCTAACTTTTCCTACCTTCTATTTAATTCCCTAGACAGGAGGGGTGGCCTCCCAGGACCCCCCTTTATTTGCACTTCCTGCCAATTTACACAAAATGCAGTGGTATTTGTTACCAAGAGTGACACACCCTCCTGAGACGAAGTCCCAAAACCAGGCTATCATGTGAACCGAAAATCCAAACCTAACCTTTCCTACCCTCTATTTATTCCCTAGACAGTAGGGCAAGCCATTGTACCCACCCCCCTTATTAGCAATTTGTGCCTACTTAAAGAAAACACGACATTAAGAACTCTGGCTGTGTGAGGGTGTTTTGGATTTAGTCCCTGAGCGGTGATATGCAGTAACGATGAGTCCGCTGTAGGGCAGTGTCCCTTTCCCTCTATCTCTGTGTTTCGCTCTCGATAACATTAAACAATGCTTCATTAAAAACTCTGGCTGTGTGAGTGTTGTGGACTCTCAGTGAGCAGTGATATAAACTGGATATTTTCATCATTTCACAGGAAATATGAGACCCTAGCAGCTGTACCTTTGTTGTTTATGACTGTTTCTTATTCTCTATGAAATAGCACAATATATTGAACTCTATTTGTGAGTGTCCCTCACAGCAACAAATACCAATAATTTAACTGCAAGGTAATTTGGTGGTTCAAATTTCTTTATTCAGCAGCAAATTGCTAGAGACACCCCATGCCATCTTTTCTGGCGGCAATTAGGGTGAGACATCCTGCCAAAGCTCCATCCACTCCTGTGACATAATGGGATTGTTTGCAGTTGATGGCCTGCTGTTTTACTTTTTATTTTTCTGGTATGCAGTATTTTGGAATATTATATCCTTGATGGCTTTTGTAACTTTATGGTGGGTTGTGCTATTATAGATATGCAATATAAGTATAAATATGTACAAAAATAACTGAGCTAGGAGTAATTCATCTGGCAACTCGAAGAATGTTTGCTGTCTACTCAATTCCTGTTGCACGAGAGGTGTAGCATAAGCCATAACCATCAGAAAAGACCTCTCTACAATGTCTTGCTAAAATATGTGTGGAAGTTTTTGGCCTTTGCCATATAGTAGCTTCTACCCTGCTTCTGCAAAGAAGACATTTGCCTCATCATTATATTTAGAGTATGCAAATCCACAATAATATTGGAAATGACACTTAACACTCTCTAAAAGAACAGTTATGAATTTTTTCTCTATTCCATTTCCTCTGTAAAATAATGATAAAGGCAATAAAGAGGATACATAACTCATAAATTCTAGGTGGTGCTCCATGACCTACTCTTCTGCAGGACCAACAGAAATTGTGGTCATTCTTTACAGTATGGATACACTCACCATAAACTAAGTCCCCAACTTCAGGCATTTCTTGAGGGGTTGTCCTCACCTTAGTATACACAGTAAGATAGAGCTGAAATTCAAGAGAACCATGAAAACCTAGGCTGTAACCACCTTCCTCAATCTTTGCCCTTTATTTCTGGATAAAGATCGTGAAATATTTCTTCTTCCGATGACTGTTTTATTATCTTCTACAAAAATATCATCTTCAGTCTGCCCTAGCTTATTGCAACCACACTGATGTGATTTTACCTGACTGTGACATGATGACATTACTTACTGTAAGTCTATTAGAGCAAGTGATGATTGTAAGAGATAAGCATTTGACAGTAGAAGCAGAGCCTTTGGGAAGTTGGTTGAAATTTAGGTAATTTCTGTCATGCCTAGACAGTGCACAAAGTTGTTTGGAAAACTGTTTTGCTTTGGTGTTTAGTTACATAATCTCCTTACTAAGATAGGGAAAATATTAGGGTCCTGTCATAAAGAGAGGAAAAAAATAACTCACTGATATATAAAATATTATGTTCAGGCTAAGAATGACAGTAGAAAAGAAGAAAATTGGGCTTCGTATATTCCATACAAACTTTGCCTCACAGTGAACAACATTCTGAGATAGTAATTCAGCATAAAGTGTCTTTGCACATGTAAGTTGTAGTCACAATCAATCATTGTCATTCGAAAAAGCACTATATTTTCTATGTATTTCTCTCTTTCAAATATGGAGAGTAGGTGGGGGCCCATGGCCATAGCTCGTGTTAGAGGTTTTTGGTTCACCCGGCAGTATTTGTGCATTCCCAGGAGTGCCCTCAATCTTGTTGGCTGGAGTCAAAGGGATTTAGTCTCAGAGGAGTATAGTCGCTTCATAAACAATTGCCTTCGCTTATTTTACTAAATAACTTAGAAATAACAAAATTGAGGGTTAACAGTGGTTCCATATCCTGCCAACAATGATGGGGAAAAGTTCCTGATGATCCACATGCTGGCCCCACTGGAATTTTTGCATAAGGTAAGAAATGATCCATGTATTTGCATGGGCTCTATCCTGCCAAAAACTACAAGGTGAAGATTTTACAGGCCATGGGGGAAATGGAGGGTTAGCAGGAAAAATATAGTGCTCACTAGTATATCATTTTTAGGTGTTTTTTTCCAAATTTACCAAATCTATCTGACCTCTGCTTGCTTTTATCTGAAATAGGGATTGTACAATCAGATGCTTAGTCTGATACTGGCATATTGTCAAGCAGTTGCCATTATCTTCATTATCAGAAGACAACAAATCTCTACTGCATAATCATGAATTATGTGCAGCCAGTTGAAGTGCAGTTAAAGATATATGAATAGATATATGTACACACACACACATATATATATGTGTGTGTGTGTGTGTGTGTGTGTGTGTGTGTGTGTGTGTGTGTGTGTGTGTGTGTGTGTGTGTGTGTGTGTGATTTGCTTGGATCAATCCTGGTATCTCCAGGCTGAGGACAGTGACTCTGCAGCTGTGATATATATATATTAGTGTGTGTCTATGTGTGTCTATGTATGCACACTAATAATTTCTTATGTTTTCCTTATCCGCAGTGTAATCCACCCCACCAAGATGTTCTGTGGTATGCTGGCCGTGGGCTTAGCCTTTGGGCTCTTCTATTACCTGACCAACAACAAACAGCCGGCCGTTCAGTTCAAGAAGGACCACCCCATCCTCTCCCTACTCTTCCTCATCCTGGGCACCTATTTCATTGTGTACTTGTTGGGTTCTGTGGTGGTCTTTCTCATGGGTATCTTCTTGCCATTAGTATGTGAGTATTGCCTCATCCCTTACCGTTATCTCTTGTGGAAATGTGTAATTTGTGGTTTTTGGTTTTCCTGTTTTTTCCTCCTTTCTTGAGCTTCATGTTATTGTGAAAGATAATGAGTACCTTTGCACTAGGGCTTCTGGCTTCTCTTTACTCGTGTTAAAAGGATTGTCTGAGGAATGTACAACTTTGATCTCAATTTTTTCTTTCTCATTCTTTCTTTCTCTCTTTCGTTCTCTTTCTCACTCACTCTCTCCTTCTCTTTCTTTATTTTTCTTTCTTTCTCTTTCTTTCTTTCTTTCTTTCTCTTTCTTTCTCTTTCTTTCTTTCTTTCTTTCTCTTTTTCTTTCTTTCTCTTTCTTTCTTTCATTCTTTCTTTCTTTCTTTCTTTCTTTCTTTCTTTCTCTTTCTTTTCTTTCTTTCTCTTTCTTTTCTTTCTTTCTCTTTCTTTTCTTTCTTTCTCTTTTTTTTCTTTCTTTCTCTTTTTTTCTTTCTTTCTCCCTCCTTATCCCCCTTTCTCTCTCTCCTTCTTTCTCCCTCTCTCTCCTTCTTCTTCTTCTTCTTCTTCTTCTTCTCCCCATCCTCCCTCCTCTTTCTCCTCTATCCTTTTTCCTTTCAGTTTCACCCCCCCCCCCTTTTGTATGATTGTAATTACTTCATAACTCTTCTCTCATCTATTTACAGTCATCTTCATCCACGCCTCCATGAGACTGCGCAACCTCAAGAACAAACTGATGAACAAGATTGAATACATCGGCCTGAAACGCACTCCCATGGGGGTGATCCTCGATGCTCTCGGCCTGGAGCAGGAGTTCATGATGTAGGCAGAAGAGTGTTGTCGTGTAACTTACTACTGTTGTCATATCTTGAGAATCCCGTTCCTGAAAGTGCTTACGTGCTTCGGCTTTTCTCTCTCTTTTTCTCTCCCCCCCCCAGTGAAGAATAGTGTTCTTACCACGTACTGTTTGAATAGGAGACAAGATTTGGGTCGCAGCACCTAAGATTAGCACCGGTTTAGACAGTGAATTTTTGGATGGGATTTTTGAAGTTGTACTTGCAAACTCTTGATTTTTTAAAATTTCAATCCCCCCTCATTTTTTTTTCTTTTCTTTTCTTTTTTAAGAACATTATTGTCTTAGTATTTGTAATGATTGGGTTGTGCTCTTCCTAGGTATAGTGCAACATGTTGGGATAGAATGGTTTATCTATGTTCCCGCAGCTGAAGGAAACTCTAGATTTAGAAACAAAGTGTTAAGGATCTAGTCTTATTTCAATCAAAGAAATTAGCTAAGAATTAGGATTACATAATACAGATATTTATAGATCACATTTACAGTGACCGCACTCTGCCATACAATTGAAACCAGATAATTTAGTCATTATATTGATCTAAACTTATATACGTCAATGTAAATTTATTTGTAAATTTAATTTAAACTAAAAAGTTTAAGTACTGATCCAAAACATTTAGTATGTTTTTTTTTAAGAAGAGTTCTTGTTAACTTTTTTAAAGGTTTATTTTTTCAAGGGTTGTTTAGCATATTTTCAGGAAAATAAACCCCTACAAGAGAGGGTTGTAGTTCACCTCACTTAGAAGAGGAGCCAACCAGATGTGATGATTTTTTTTTTTTTTTTTTTTTTTTTTTTTTTTTTTTTTTTTTTTTTTTTTTTCTCTCAAGAGTGAAAGAAATTCTATCGTGTTACACATCCTGCAACATTATGTAAATGTAGAGTCGTTAGGGTTTGATTGAGTATTTTTTTGGAATTTTTATTATCGTACAAGTATAGTATTTTTTTAATATATAGAAATATCAGATCAGGTTCTTTTGCTTGAGCATATTCAGTTTGCCTGTTTAAGATGCATGATTTCAGATCAAGGGGTTATTATATTAGAATGCATTGTGACATTTAGAAAAGAGTACAGATGAAGATAATTTTGTAATGCAAGTTGTGTAACTGACACATTGATGTTGCATCTTTTCAGAATGACTTGAAAATTTACACCACTCTGAAGATGGAATATTGAAACCTCAGTCATATAGCTGGCTCTAGAATTATGCATATTCATTCATAGCTCTTTTCTAGATGGCTACAATTTCTGCACACAGTTCAAATGCTTGATATTAACTGCATCATTTCCTCTTTCTTTGGCCACATAAAGTGATTGTCAGAAGAAACACTCCTTCAGGTAATGTGTTATCCTGTTGTAGGAGTATTCATGGAAAAAAGAGAAAAGTATTTTTGGCGTATTACTTCCATATTTTTTCTTTCTTTCTTTCTTATTTTTTCACCCCTGTTATATGTAACTGTAGGTCTATTGCTCATGCATGCGTTTACTAAGGCTTCATAGGCAGAAGATATCAGTAATTTGAGCAGCTATAGCTTTATTTTGGGTCTTATTTTAAAGAGTGGAGTGGGTAAGATGTTATTGTTGGCTTTTTTATTATTTTTTTTTAGTTTCATTTTAACATTTTGCTTAATTATATAAATGTAACTGTGTAGATTGCTTGCTTTTGACTGGTTTACTTATTACAGTGTCTGTTTCCATGTGTAAATGTTTTATACACATACCAATCCCTTTTTCTTTTTCTGGTTGATATTTACTTATTCCATCAATATTTTCTACTCACTTTTCTGAATCTGAATTAAAATGGAGTGATTTATTTCTTGATTGAAGTTTGCTTTAGTTATATGACCTTCCATACAATGTTTTTCTGATAAGTTCATCTGTTATAATTAATTTGCCACCGGTCTCTTTCCTTTTATTTTTTTTCATAGCATTATGGTCGTTAGTCTCTCTCTCTCTGGTCCCTCTTTCTCTCCCCTCTCACCTCTCTTCACACCTCTATCCTTCTACCTTTCCTTCATTGTCTGATGAAAGCACTTAGACATTTCCAACTTTCCCTATAGTTCCAGATTGAATCTCGAGGGGTCCAAGTTGAATTTCGAGGGAAGTGCCAAAATCCTAGAGACTTTCAACAAGCTGTCTGGCTACCAATAACGGCGGACACTTACACGAGCATGATTTTGCAAGCTGTGCCACTTCTAATCTCTTTGTTGTTGTTTTCTTTTTATTCTCATGAATCGTGCATGATTTGTCAGCATTGTCACCCTGATTAGTTATTTATATTTAGCCATGCCTGACTTTATTATTAATTTTAAGCTTTTATTTTTTAATTGTTTCTCTCTCTATCTGTCTCTCTTTTTTCCACTAGGAAATGGAAAACAGTCTTACTATGCATATTTGGAAGTCATTCATAATCACAAATCATTAGATATTTACTATTGTCTATGATATATAGCGTGTGTGGGGTGGGGTAGGGGTTTGAATCATTATTTTATCCTCTGGAACTTTTGACTATTTAATACTCACCTTTTGTAACAATCATTAATAGACTGGTGGAGGCTACATATATGGATATAGAATTCATGTAATTAAAGGTTGTAACAGTTATACTTAACCCAATGCCGACGGGTGGTTTCCCGATACACAAGCCCTCTCTCCTGGGTTGTATTCATAGTGGCCCGGGCCATGGTGCCAGCATAACCACACATGGCCCAGGAAAACAGGATTGGTGCACCATGGCATATACGTACTTGCACCTGGCGGCTAAAGGTTAAAGTAATGGATTCCATAGTTTTTTTTGTTTTTTTTATCGTGCTATTGAATAGAAATCTAAGACTGCCAATTGAGTATTGTTTACCAGTTTTACTTTTAGAGTATAATAGACACCATAGTTGTCATATTTCCATTCAAAACAACTAGTCCAACTTGGTGTGTTTGAAATCCAAGAAATTATCTTTGCAAAAGTACCACTGAAGATTTGCATATGATGTCTCAAATCATAGCATTCATTTCCCAAATAATTTCCAATCTGTGCAGTATTATGAGGTTACAGTAGCATTAACTTAGAGTTTATGCTGGTTTTTCTTCTCCTTTTTCTTCTATTTATCTTATTCGGTAGACTTTTAGAATACATGTTATTTATGGGAAGCTGTTGTTTGCTTCATATAGTCTTCAGTAAGCAACCACAAGACATTCAGACTTTAATGCTGTAGAAAACAGAAAAAATGGGAAAGACAGTCCTGTCTTCTATCTAAGATTATGAAAGTTGATCTGAAGTGTTTAATTTATTGATTTTAAAAGATGGTCCACAATACATTTAGTAGATGCTATATAGGATACCTATGGGTATTGTAGGGATAATTCAACAAGTAAACATAGGGTGATTTCAACTGAACTACAGAATATCATGAGCTAGTTAAAGAAAAGTAAATGAAAAATAAAAAGTATATATAAAGATTATGTCTAAAGAAAAATGTCTATATTTTTAAGTGGTACTTAAGGTTTTCCTCCATTGTTATTTAAATTGGCCTTTTTGAGAGTTTTGTAGTACAGTGTTTTTGAAATAGAGAATTATGTACATGTCCTTTTCACTATGGTTATCTTTTTTGTTTTTGCGGAAGTCTGTAAGTTCCTGGATAAATAAATAGGTTAAAATAATGTTTATGAATCTTTTATTTTGATCCTCTATAAAACATCCCATAAACTTATTGGTTCATGAATATAAAGTCTTACACATCACATTGTCCAAATATGCTAATACTAAATTATTAAAGATGTTTTTATTTAACTGTAATTTGGTGTTAAAAAGAATACCATGTTGATAAAATATAATTGACTTGTTTTGTTTAATGCCTTGTATAATATTTAGCAACATATTATAATAATAGTTTATTTTGTTAAATATTACCTGACTCTCATTAAACTTTCAACTGTTGCTTTAACCCTTTCCTGACAGGGAAAATTAATAAAAAATGGGGGAAATTCTGTGCTCATGTTTTATATATCTGTGAAATGTCCCTGTTACTAGATGGCTCTACTAGTGCTTAGCCATAAAGGATTTTACCTTTCCTTGAATTGGCACGAAAAATGTATTTTTACTTGTGCTATAAATATAGATGGTGTTATTTTTATTATAAACATTATAATTACTAAAATGTTAAAAACATTTGTATCATCAAAATAAGATAACGTTGAATATTTTTGTAAATCGATGAAAAGGGTGAACGGGCGAGACAGGCAGTACTCGTAACTGACTCATTGGTAATTTAGTACAAGTGTAGCCATCTATGTGTAAAAACAATTAAACAAGTAAACTCACAAGGAGCATGGCATGTACATACATGCCATGCCCGTAAGCAAGGTGTTCACATATTGTCACAGTTACACCTGAGTCCCAAGCACGTCATACTCTACCCAGACTGACCTCACTGGCAAACATACTCCTGCCCAACTTCACTCCTTTACTACTTATACAGGAACTGTTTCCGTCTCTCTGACTGATTGTCCTGTCTGTGACAAGGACTGGTCAGACTGTGAAGACGACTTGCTCACATGCCTTGTCTATGATGCAATGGCATTCCACTGCTACACTATTTCTCCCAGAGGCCAACATAAGTCCTACATCAATGTTGCTAACATAACCTTCCATAGACATGACTTCCATGAAGTTTATATTGGTGGAGTGTCCTGCTCTGTCCGACCATATCAACCTCTTACCCATCAATGTCAGAAATATTGGCCTTTTGGCCACCCAGCCAAACACTCATACCACAACCCACTGCCCTTTATGTGCCTGGTCATGGCCATTCAGATTGCTCTGCTCAGGCATGCACGTGTGCCAATGGTGTTAGCCCCCAATATGTATTTTATAGGAGCTGCCCTCCCTACAAGCTCAAATATGAGGTAGCAGTTCTCAGATTCAAACAAGGC